TCTCGTCTCCAACGCAGTAAAATATGGTAATGACATATTTTGGCTGCTCGAATAAGGATTTACGATGTGCCAAAGAATGCGAAATTCAAAACAACCCTTATTGTGAATGGCTATACTTATAGGATGTGGAGTCGTTCAGACTAATTTCGTTAGACTGAAAACCTTCGACTTGAATAATGTTCAAGTATGTAGACTCCAAGTTCATTGTTCATGCAAAGTAGTCTTCTGAACACAACGAACTGAGTAATGGTTAATTATTTTCTCTGATCAGAGGGAAGGAGAATGCGACAAACAACTGTCCTTTCGATTTCAGCAACATTATCTTAAAGTTCGTCAAATTTATCAAAACGCTAAACCCTGTTCGACTTTCAACAGCAAAATCTAATGTTTTAAAATACTACAGTTTTGCCTAGTAAAATACGACACACCTGCCAGTGTTCCAGCATGTGAAACTCAGAAAACCAATGCAAGATCAAGGGGGATTTTCATCATTGGTATAATTAAACAAATGACTGATAATTACTGTTTCTGACCATTCCACAATGACTACTATCATTTTGCTCAGCAGAGAACTGCGCTGGCTGAAGGCTTGAGGTAGCCAGAAATCAAGGCACGATTAAACTTAATTCAATCGAACGGTGAATAAAGAGGTTGCAGGGAAACCAATGGACGACAGGATGCGCTGTCATGCATCGGACCAGAGTGCAATCAGCCAGCGTTCATCGTCTTGCTCTGAATGCCTGCTGAACGACAGAAGGAAACGCTGATCACAGCATGACGTCGTGCAAGTTTTAAATTAGAATTCACCGTCGGACGTGTTGCAAAAGCGCGCGCCACTAATTCACCTCTGTCACCATCGCCGCACCAGGAACCGCAAATCGATGACTTCCACTTTCTTGTACTTTGGCTGTTTAGCCAACACGTAGCAGTAGAGCAAGTAGAGCAGTCGATGGTAATGAATGAAATGAGAAGGCCATTTGCACGTCAATGCTCCAAGAGGCGAACTGCTAACCAACTTACTACTATGACTGATGTCCCTCTTAATGAGGATTCGTCGAATGAAGCGTATGCTTCAGGTGACTCATATTAAAACTAAACTCTGAATCTCTGAATTGCCAAGCATTCCCAACTAAACGATATCGAAGCTTTGAGAAAACGCAAGCCTTTAAGCAAATTTCTTAGCCTCATTTCTTCAGAAAACTCTCAACCTGCTGTCCAGACATCAGTTATTGTTGGATCGCTACAAGCATCAAATCAGCAGAAGTTTAACTGCATTTCAAGTTACTGAAAGTCTAATTATGATGGCAAATATTTCTAGAGATCCTTAACTACGTAAATATGAATAAAACTGTTCGATGGCTGCTGAAATTACTTGCCCTGAATGAAACGAAATAAATTCTTCTTGCAATAACGCGTCACATTGCAATTTCCAGTGGCTGTTAGACATCGAATACTACTGTAAATAAAAAATGATTTTCAGACTGTTTAAAATTTTTGAGAATGAGGGAAAATTCTGAATGTATTTTCCTACATACCTTACCTTCTGTACATTCGGTTATGTAAAAGTTTTTTAAAAATCAACGAGAAGGCCTGTGAGACATGAGTCGAAATCTCATACAAATCTATCGCTCGATAAATCGACAATCTATACGTTTCCATCGAATACTTAAATACACTGTTTTATGCTGGGTTTCAGGAAGCAAATCAAAAGTCAGGCACCCACCAGAAATCGTTTGTTTGCTGACTTCAGCATATAATCTAGGCCATATGACTTCGACAGATGATGCGAAGAACGCTACTTTCTCCTCAATTGCTCCTCCGTCATGTATTTCTAAGCTTTTCCTTCATTTTCATTTCAAGAAGTAAACGTTATAATGGAAAAATATGATCATAGATTTGTTGGTGAAGAATAACGACATTTCGATAATCTGTTTATTCAACTGGCAGTCAAACCATCCATTTTCTGAATACATTTTGCTTAAAGGTGTAATAAGCTCGGCAATTGGGCTGTTTGTCAACCATTTCAGGGTTAATAAAATTTTTAATGGTTGAGAAAAATATCATTCCTTCCTGCAATGTACTTCACCTACATTTATCGCTGTCTACTCTATGAGACAAAGCGGTTGAAGATGGAATTGTGAACAGAGAATTATGTGTTTTCATTTGTTCATTTTTAGAATCTGCAATATCTTTCAAATCGTAGGGCAGCTGCTTAGTGGATGGCAATAACTTTAAGATATCTTTGTAAAATCTAGGATGACCCAAAAAAGTGAATCGATATTTGCCTATCGAATAAAGCGGTAAGTATCATGTCATGAATGTGCTGAGTGGCTGCATATTTGACCTCTCAGCGAGGTTTAAATAAATATCAAAAACCCTAGTTTCAGACATAGAGACAGCGTGGTAGTTGTTTTAAATAGCTCTGACTGCCTGAGTCTCATGTTCTTATGGGCTGAAGCAGTTTGGTATCGTGACTGATCGATTATGTCAATCACTGGTAATGTCTCTGGTAAAAGATAGTCAAACATAACCTACAGGAAATGAACTTCCTGTCAAAGCGATTTGACTCATTTGAGCATAGAACTAAAGAATTTTTTTTACTCTAACGTAAGGACACGTTTCTTATGTTCTATGACATGTTTCAAATATTTTTTCCCAGATTATGTTTCTTTATCATAATGTCAATATCAGTTACTGAATTCAATTGGTAGAAAATTCATTAGTGATCTACATGGACAGTAAGATCAGTTACGTCATTGCTGCTTAAGAGTGAAGCCATCCACGTAAACGGACTTTGCTTTTGATTATAGATGCTTCAGATCAAATGAGAAAATTTCTATAAATCGATTTTTTGCAGTCTTACATATGCGTTGCAAGCATACACGGCTGAATTGCTCACAGCTTAGCTTTCTTGTTCCCTTTAACAATTTTTTGTATGTTCTTAATCTTCTACTACAGTTACATGAACTTATTTATATATGTATGTCAAGTTTCCTTTACACTTCCTCACCTTCTAGTATTTCCTTACGTTTACATGATATTGTCATATTGGGATCTACTTCTGTTGATGATGTGGTGCAATTTTCAGGAAACGTCACTCAGCTACAAAATAGGCTGAAGAGCTCAAGAAAAATTTTGCAGAAGTCAGACTGCGAATCAACTGGTCCAAGAAGAAGATACTGCAATCAGATGCCCTGCAAAAGGTCCAGGTGATTTTAAACGGTGGAAAGATCGAAGTCGATAAATAAATTTACCTGGGGCAGTATACGGCATGATCAGGCTATAGAGATTCAATGAAGGAAGAGGAAGGCGCTCTATTACAGTAAGGACGTTCTCTTAAGCAACACCAGAAGAGAAGGTTCGTGCCCAACTCATCAAATGTACCGTCCTAGCGTCAATGTTGTTTCACTGTGAGACGTAGTCACTCACTAAAGCCGAAGAGCGCCATCTGCCACTGAAAGGGTCATGGAAAGAGAAACGCCATGACTTTTACGCCGTCGCCACATCCCCAGTACGGTGATCAGACAAAGAACGGGATTTTTAGAGCGATGTCTTCGAAAGCAGAAGGAAGGAGCTACAGTCGGCTGGGTACGTAGCTGAACTCAACGATGGAAGATGATCAGCGATGATCCTCGTCTAATATCCTCATCGGCAGACTAGACCTCTTCGTCCCACATCGCTTTGGTGGGCAGATTACATTAGGAGCCGAGAAAGCCGCGCTTGGAGGTAAAAAGTTGAAAACTGCTTACTGGCTAGTCGAAGTGATCAAGTGATTCAAGTTTCAATCGACAATAATAATAAATACTTCTCTTCTCCGGGAAGATATTGGGCATGGAATTTATGAATCTTTACTCAACCCTCCATCAATGCTTTATAAACGGCTTAATTAATCACTGTTGTAAATTGTTTCATGGCACATGCTCATTAACATTGTAACGTATTGGTTCTACTTGAAATTAGTTATATCAAGGAGCGGAATATCAAAAAATGAATCTAAATCATAAAGGGGAATAATACGGTGAACTTAGAGCAGATGTCTTTGAACGAATCAAGTATCAAACGCTCCCGATTGCTTTGCAAGTCTTTGTTATTCACTGTGCTCATGAAAATTGATCTGAGCAGAGCGTAGCCTAGGCTCCTGACTGTTTACCAATTGGCGCGACAACGGTAACAGAGACTCGCTCACGATCGTCCGTGTGCTACAGAGGGTGTCTGACTTCGTCTTTGTTTGTCCAGCCGAAGGCCGTCGGCTAGAACGCTCCCGAACACTGTTGCATTAAGCTATTCGACATGGCTGCCCTCCACAAAATGCACAGAGACTGCGTCTTATGTTTGCCTGTTTTCTTATTTGCTACCTTACGAGGCCCTGCACCCGGTTGCGGGTAAACAGAGAGGTTGCCTTCAGAAAGCTACAGTTCGTCAGAAAACGCACAAACATTTACCACAGTAACGACAAATATTTTCGGTTGGTCGGCAGCGAGTGAGGAGAAGACGAATCATGTGCAAAACTCCTGCAATTTGCTAACATGTCTCCACCTTTAGGAGCCGCCTAAAATGTCAAGCCAAAAGCCGGCATTATACGACATCGTCCAGAGTACTGTCCGAGCGAAGAAGTTCACTTCCATGAGACACATCAAAAACTACAGTGCTCCTTGAACAAAAAGTGTGAAACTGATAGCAGCGGCTAAAGCGACGCTTTGGCAGTATTGACGTTTGTTGCTAGTAGATTATTGCAGCAAAATCGACCAATGAGTGCGCGCCATCATTTAACTGCTGCCAATCGTCGGGCCGCTGAGTAGTCGACCAGCAACAAGTGCTAACGATTTTCCAGCATCTGATTCTGAATTACAAATAATACTGGTTTATTACATTCTTAATCTACTCTTTTGTTGTCGTTTGTAAACGGACGAACGTAACCCAGTGCTAACGGTGCATGTAACTAAGCCGAAGTCGTGGTCACAGCCAAGCAGCACTTACCTAGTGTGGATTACTGTATCTTCATGCTCCATAGCCGTTGCCCGGAAGTAGTCGTCGGCAGCAGTGGTGTGTCTTCAGAGACGCCGGGCAGCCTTGACTCGATAGCCAGCAGTCTCAATGGAGGTAGAGTGCCGTCGCGGTCTTCGTCTTCAGCTCTCAACTCAAAATTCTCCATCGAGTCTTTGGTTGGAGCCTCTGGAGAACTGCTCAGCAAGTGCCACAGCGAGTCACAGCATCAACGAGGCAGATTTCTGCCAGATGGTGCTGGTGGAAACAAAACGGTCGCCGTCGACCGTGCAACTTCCGGTTTCTCGACGCCAACGGCCAAGTCGTCTTCCGGTCTGAACTCGGCTACGGCTTTCGTCAGGGTACCGTTTGGCAATGATGCCCTCCCAACGCCACCAACAGGCTATTTCCCGACCAGTCTATGGCATTTAACCTCGGCTGCGGCTGCAGCGGCATCGATAACTGCGGCGGCAGCGGCGGCGGCGGATTGCTCATATGTACCCTTGCAAAAGGGGTTTGCGCCATTGCAGCTCCCTACACACCTGCATCGGGGTCTGAACAAGCATCATCCGTACCTACCTGACAGCAATCGTCTGTGTTTCTGGCCTCCGAACTGGCTGGACATCTTCAAGGACGTCTATTCCTTGCCGCAGCAGTACGGTAAGCATGTTGCTTGTGAAACGCTCTGAAACAGTGGTCACTGGACAGTGGTCATTTATGGTCTGGTCCTTCCGCTACCCGACGGACAGATTAGGAATTTCTCATCATCATCGTCCGCATTCGAGGCGCTGTTCCGGTTTCGCACATTCAGTCTCGCTTTTTGTGCCTTTTCTTATTCACGCGCAATGACTACCTGGCCAGTGTGCGAAGAAATGATCGAGACACAAAACATGGTGAAAAAGCAAAAACCGTTTCGCGTTTTTCGACCTGTGCTACGCCAGGCCGGTGACAACATGGTCTTCGATCACCTGTGCCGCGTGCCTCCGTCACTGGCCGTGACCGTGCGGCGCTGTTTCAATTCAGTCGATACTGTGACGTTCGTCGCATTCGCCTTTCGCGACACCGACCATGGCGACTGCCGCTTCTTGACTCTGTCCTCATGAGTCAAAGAAACTCATCACTCAGTCAAAAGGGGGCGAAAGGTTTGGCTTAAGGGTGGCTTTCTCTTGACCTGCGTTACCGACACAAAACGAGGCTAAGGTTCAAACCATGGCGTCGTCTCTCTAATGTGTCCTATTGATTGATTGCTGCGTCGACATGTAGTGCATTCACTTCACTAAATGTATTCAGCGTGTAAAGGAGCATATGAGTTGTAGCTGATCTACGGCGTCACGCTGCCGAACTGTCCAGCTTCCAGTACTTCACTTTTTTCTAAAGACCCTTACTAACTTTTGCTAACCCTTGTTCAGGTCTAACGTTTTCGAAATTTAATCGGGCGCTTTAAATCAATTTACAAAATTACGTAAAATCTCACCACTGTTTGAAACGATTATAGGTCTCCGCAAATCCCATTCAATGTTCTCAAAATATAAATCTTCCAGCATCATTAAAATATGATTGATGGATATCATTGACTTTAGTTGCTTATAAATCAAAATTAGCCACTTATTTTACGTAGATCAGAATGCAAAAAAT